ATAATCTATTTTATGCAGTACCCATTTAAAACCAGGCTTAATTTGCATTGAAGTCAGAGACTTGAGGGTGTCTCTAGACTTCAGATTATTTGTACACCTTCTGTAGAATCAGTGAATCTAAAATGCATTAAGCAAAATTGTGCCTGATGAAAGCACTGCAAATTTTAGGAAAAAAAGAGAAAAATATTTAATGTCTTTTTCTTAGACCCATTTGGACAAGGGGGAAAATTTTCCATAAGCTTTTGCAGTCTTTGTGGATTCCTCCAAACAGGATGAGGAGTGTGGCAAACTTTTTGTGAGTTTGGTGCTCAGAGTTTTCCTCTTTCTGGCATTTTCCTGCTGCTGCTGAATTTTCCATAAAAGCCAAGATCTGTTTGCATAATTGTATTGACAAAAAGTTGTATTTATACAGAAAAGAAACCATTAAGCTGTTTTATAATAGGCTTTTGGTTTGCTTTTTTTTCTGAAGTTTTCTTTTTATAAAGAAATTTTAATAAGCAGAATTTTAATAATGCTGATTTTTGGTATATTTCCAATATTTGTTTTAGAGTTATTTTAACCCATAGTTGGGCAACTCACCAAAGCTTTTCCTCTGAGGATTTTTCTGCCTGAAAGACCTCCTTCAGTGCAGACAGATATTTTGACTCTGTGTTAACATGGAGTGCATTTAATTTTAAATTTATATTGTCTTTTATTTCAATTTAGTTTAAGCCTCTTGCAAGTACCACCATAGAAAATGAACAGGCACTCTGAAATCTGGAATAAGTGTGCAGGAAGGATCATTTCAGCATCTGTAAGACATGCCTTGTTGTGCTGAAATTTCTTTCCTTTTGTAGAGAGGAGAAAGCCTAATATTTATGGGCTGCAAGATTTTCTTTATAGTGTCAATAAAACATCAATGCATTATCTATACATGAGACAAATGCTTTGAAATTTCCCCACCAAACCAGCTTGATTGGCTTCTTTTCCTCCCTTTCAGTGGAAATGCAAATCAATAAATAGTATTTCATTATCTTGTGTGCAGAGGCTGATTTGGCAATTAATTGTGTTGGATGTGAGCTCTGTGGTGAGGGGGTGCTTACAAGGAGCAGGTGATGGATGCACTCCCCTTCCACCTTTGGAGACCTCACTTGAATCCTGCCATGGGTCACTCTGGGAATGAGTTTCTATGGGCATGTTTTACTCTTTGGGGCTTGTCTGTCCCCATCGTAAACCCATCAGGCCACATGGTGTAGCTAACAGTAAATGCCACAGAAAAACTGCTAACCACATCAGCAGGCGGCATTGGGAAGGGTGATTTGTGTCCCTCAGCAGAACTGATTGGGAGCAGCCAAGCTCAGTTTGTCCTGGATTTCAGGCCCATTTGAAAAACATTTTTTTCCCAGAGACCTTCCTGAAACTCCCTTAAGGCCCCAAGTGCAACTGTAGAATTGAGCATTTTAATATATTCAGGAAGCACCCATTTGACAACAGCTCTTGTTGATTATTGGATCTTTTGAGTTACAGTTACAAAACAAATCAATCTATCAGAATCAAGAGATGTTCTCAGAGGTGATTTGAATTCCAGTGTGTCCTGTGTTCCTCAGGCAGCCCAGTGACCCCATCCCAGGCTGGGGAAGAATCCTCAAGCCAGAGCTCAGCGCCGCATCCAGAGCCTCACGACAGGAGCTTTGCCTCGAGTGGAGGCGAGAGGTTTATTATTTCACACATTCTGTGTGTGCCTTCATCATGCACACCCCCTATTTCTCATAACCCCCCTGCCTGCTGAGCAGGGAGAAGGAAAAGCCAAGCGGGAAGCGGGAGGGATCCGTCTGCAAGAGGCTCTTGTGCCTCTCACGCACGCAGGTGCGGCGGCCTCATCAGCTGCAGTGCCCCTGTTTCACACCGAGCCTGCATGAATAAGCACGCCCAGATTAGCTGCTAGGCCTTTCATTTAGCATTTCAAGGTATGACTGTGTTTCTGGCATGTGGTGTAATCACAGGGAAGAGTTTTGATGGATGGCAGAGGAGGAGAGGGAGAGAGATGCTCGCTGAGGCCAGCTGATGCTTACGGGGTCATTTTTGTCTTGTCCATAAACTTATGAAGTACAAGAAGAGACTCCTGGGAGGCCAGTGACACTAATGGAAAAGTTAAGTGTGAGACTGTACGGCTGGACTTGATGGCTTTTATTCAGAGTTGTTATTAATTTAGACAAAAGCAATCTAAAGCTGTCAGGAGTGCAACCTCTGCATTCACTTCTGTAAATTATCATAGTGTCCATCACCACAATAACAGGAACTCAGGTATGGGTGTTTGTCTTAGAGGTGAATCTCAACCTGCTGGCTTAACTTGTGATTTGGAAGGAAAAAATTAACTTTCATTCTCTAATAAGCTGTAAGGTTTTTTAAGATTGCCTTTTAAATATGCTTTGTTTTACTTTGTTAGCAGTTGATCTGTTTGAAATTGCTACAAAGTGAAAGTGTGAGCCCATAGCAAATGCAAGGAGTAGCAGGCATTACTCTTTGTCTAACTAGACTGTGGATGGCCATCAGAGGCCATTAGATCCCAAATTCCAAATATTCACAGGTATTTCTGATATTGTAAGGAAAGCTGGCGCCAGCAGCAGTGAACTTTTGTTCTCATTTCCAGTTACACTTGAGTACCAGCTGTACCATGTAATAGTTGTAACATTTTTTTCCTTCAAAGAGAGCATCCCTCACCCTGCTGAGAAGTGCAGCCTGAAAAGATCATTCTGATTCAGTGATCTCAACTGTCACCTCTCTGACCTCGCAAAATAGACTTTTCAGCTTTTGTGTATCACCTCCTGCTTTCCCTGGGCACGGTGCATTCTCATCACCTCCTCCTCCAGGCTGACATTTGATTCATTCAGCTGCATTCTGATAGAGAGATCCCACATTAGCCCCTCTTCTTGGGAGACTGACAGAACCTTTGTGATGGATAAGCTTTCTTCTGAAGTTTGAGATAGCCTAGTGTACACCTGCCTTTATTTTTTGTGGTTCTGCACCTATGGGGTAGGGCAGCTTCAGAACCAGGACATCTGTTACGTGATATTTTTAAACTCTAGCCGTGGAGAAGCAGAAAATGATTTCATGTAATGTTAAACAACAGATAGGTTCTCTTTCCTTTTCCTTATCTAAGGAAACATAACTCACTCTGTGCCTGTGTCCCTAATTAGTAACACTTGCAAGCCTTGACCTTTCAACAGAGAGCTCAGCTCAGCCTCATCTGGTGAGAATTGCCCCTATGATGTAGCTGTGCATAATAATAAAAACAATTTAAAACGCATTAAAACGTTAAAAAAACCCCACCAAAACCCAAACCACTTAAAAGCTTAGACCCAGACTTCTCCACATTTATTCATGTTGAGCAATAATTTGCTCTGGTAATGGTCCCAAAGAGGCAGTTTTAAGATACTGTGTACTGAAAGTAAGAGCATTGTTTAATAAATAAGCAGTTGTGTCCTTCTTTGTTCACTTATGGCTCAATGGTCTTTGTGTCCAGTTCATGATTTGTTCCCAGGACCAGCCTACTTTCAACACTTTGCTCCTTTGCCTTATTTTGTCTGATTATTTCTCATAATCTGATAGGAAAAAAAACAAGAGTTGCTAAAGCACCAGCTGGAGTGCAGTGAGTTTGTCCAGACTGCTGTCACTGTTAGGGATGAGTGAAAATGTTTATTTACCGAGTGACAGTAAGGCTTTTTTTCTTTTTATATGCCACAACCATATATTGGCAGGCCTCAATTTCTTATTCCAGATCATGGAAGTGTCCTCTGCCTGAAATAATTTTTAAATTTAACTAGCTCTTATTCATAAATATTGATTTAATATATCTATCTGTCTAGTTCAGAAAAAAAAAAAAAAGAAAGCCAGCCTCCAAAACCAATATATTATCTCTTAGTTGGTTCTGTGGTCTGAAGAAAAATAATGCAATATACAATTATTTTCTCTCTAGTCAGAGCACTTGTCCAGGGATTTCCATGGGATTTTCCACCTGATTACTTTAAACTGGACTTCTCCTTTTGTATCAATAAATGAAAAAACAAATTATAATTGTTTACAGCATAAGAGCTGCTATTGGTTGTACCTTAAATCTAACTTGTACAGGTTCTCAGATTTCCTTATTTTTACTTCATCTCATGGAGAAAATAATGGCTTTTAGTTTTATTTGGAGAAGAAATTATGGTAAGCTCAGTACCAGGGGGGCTTTACCATAGGTTGGATTCCATTTCTAATTAGGAGGAAGTTATGCTAAAATAAATTCCCCGCCTTGAAGGTTTCATACCTTAGAGAAAATTTCTGCTTTTAACAAAAGAGGCTTTACTGTTACATCAGCAAAATTGAGAACAAAATCTGTGCCTGTTTTCCCTTTTCTTTTGTGAAGTCAGTAACAGTGGCTGCCCATTTTCAGACAAAATAAGACCAAAATTTGTCTGCTATTATGCATTTTACTGGTGTCCTGTGTTTGCAATAGAGATCCAGGTCTATCCAGGTGATGTTTCAATGCCCAACAACTTGTGAGAAACACTGCCCTGACTCAGTAGGAGCTGAATAACCAAGGAACCCAATGCAGGCCTTGCTGTGCGTCCCAGGGATGCTGTGTGATGGTCACCACAGGGCTTGGATTTGGAGAAATGTGTTTTTCCAAGATTGAAAGAGGGAGTGTGAGCCTGGTTCAAGGAGTCCATTCCCTCCAAAGTATTAGAGCCCATCAAGTGTGACCTTTATATGCAAGTGTATATTATACACTGCAGATTATCCTTTCCTGGGCTGTTTTCCCCCCAGATATTTCTGGTTTTTAATGTTAAAAATGATCAAAATTACTGTTTGATCTAGTATGCAGGGATGTTTCTCTTCAGCTCCTCCACTTTAATACTAAAGAAAGAATACACTTTTTGTTAAGTGCTGTTAACCTCCAGATTGGAAGGTTTGGGGTTTTTAAATTCAGATTTGGAGTGTCTGAAAAGAATAATGTGCCTACATTTGCATTCCAGTCTTCTGGAGCTGTGATGAAAACAGGATTAAAGAAGAAATCATTGGCAGTGGAGTGCTACAACAACTGAACTGCTTCTTTTCAGTGGATACTAAAGGTACCTTTAGCTGCCATTTTAGCAAAATGGGCTAAATTCTCTTCTATATTGTATTCTCAATTTCAAGAGGTACATATGGAGGAAAATGCTGCCCTGCTACTGAAAGTGTTCATTTTTCTGCATTTTTCTATTAGTGTTGGACTTTTTGCTTTTCCACATGTATCTTATACATTTGTAAGGGCCTCTTCCTGCAGCTGCCATGCAAATAGCTGTGTATTTTAGATGGCTGAGATCATACCTAACTCATCTCCCTTAAAAGCTACCATTTCAACTCCTCCTCCCCCTGCTGCTTGACCCAGGCTGTGTCTGAGCTGCTCAGCTGTGGAAACAACTGCAAAGGAAACCGATAATGATGGTAAACTGGGGTGTCATGCTTCTCTTTGTGTATGGCCATTGTAATAGAGATCCAGCAGGCCAACAATGACTCATCAGTGGCACCAAGCCTGCAATTTTGCTGTGTTTGCAATTTCAGAGAAGAAAAGCAGCTCACAATGACACGTATTAAACTCTCAGATGATGCAGAAATGATGACGTACGTCACTTCTATTATCAGCCAGACTCCAGGGAGAGGGTGTCAGATCTTTATGCAGCCCAGGTGCACATTTTTTTATAATTTAATCAGCTCAAAGCACCCTCATTTCACCAGAGAACTCTAATTCATGCCTTGAAAACCACACCATGCCCTCTGTCTGTCAGTAAATTACAGCTCACCATTCATAACCCTTACCTGCATTTAATCCAGTGCCCTCTGCGAGGAGTTCAGCCAGCTCTGCTCCACAAGCTGAAAAAGCTGGACAAAAATTGCCATGAATTATCTTCATGGGGATTATGAATAGCAAAAGGGACTGCTTAAAAAAACCCCAACAACCCAACAAGCAGCTGATAATTTGGTTTATGCAAATGCATGAGGAAAATGTATTCATGCTGGTCTCTGGGAATGATGTTCCTCAGCTCAGCAAGGATGGATTGGTTGTGGGAGAGAGCCAGATCCCTGTCTGATTTCCTCTTTTCTGCCCCTTTTCCTTTCCCCATGTTGTCACAGACCAGGGAATAGACTGGCAGGCTGAGAAAGCAGCAATCCTGTGGGGGAAACTCAGCTCACCTCTTGGCCAGATCAAAGTCAAATTTGGAAACCCAGTTAGGTATGATCTCAGCTACCTAAAATATGCACTTATTTGAATGACAGCTACAGGAAAAGACACTTCCAAAAGTTTAAGGTGCATGTGCACCAGCAAAAGATCCAACATAATAGACAAATTCAGAAAAGGGAGCGCATTAAGTAGCAGGGCATTCTTTTCCTCTATATGAACCTATTGAAACTTAAATTAAGTACAGGAGAGAGGGATGACCTAAGGAATGCCATGGGAAGAGGGGTACATTTCCAGAGGGTGGAAACATGATTCAGGGCTGGGAGGAGGTTTTGGAGGGAATGTGTGTAGCTTTGTTTTGCCTACCAAGACCTTGCTGGCAGCATGAGTTTTCCTAATTGCCAGTTGAGTGTTCCCTAATTCCTATTCCTAATTGCCATGTGCCTCTCCCCCTTAACTTGCTCCACGCTGGAGAGCTCCTCATGGCCCTGAGCACTGGAATTGGCCACCTTGGTGTCCCCCAAAAGCTTAATGGAGAAGCTGGAGCTGCTGTTTTGAAATCTGTCCAAAGAGGATTTGGATGCTCTACTGTCATTAAAAAACTGGTGGGTAAACAGGTGCCAAAATCCTGCTGTTGACCTCGTAAACCTGCCTGCACCAAAAATCTCCAAAAAGAGTTGAGAAAGACAAATGTTTCTTCAGCTGGCTGGCACTGGCTGATATCACACCAGTTTCAAAGTATTTTCTTTTCCTTATGTCTTTTTACCCACTCCAAAATGAATGGTGGGGATGGGGAGAAGCAATCCACCTAAGAATTTTTTAAATGTTTTTCATTTTGGAATGATATTCTTCTCTTATTTAAATTTCATTTTAAAGGGAATTTAAAAAAAATCCAACTAGTCAACCAAAAAAATCAATTTTCTTACTGTTCTAGTTAAAACTATGTCTAGGTACAGAACCTGCCAGTCTTTATAGGCATTAGCATAAACTAGGAGAAAATATTGAAAATTAAGAAATATACTTTATTTTTCATCACCAAAAGAGTGTTTTTACATTCAAAGAGTGGGTGAAGAAAAGATAGTCAAAGCTTAATCTCCTCTTAACTAAAACATTTCCATGCGTTTTACTCATATGAGTAATTCACAAGAAATAAGTCACAACTGAGGAGTGAAAAAAGCTTCCATAGCCATAAAGAAAAATAACAATGGTTACAACTTGTTTCAAAAAAGCACTCAAAAATAAAAATGCTATGGAGGTTGGAGGGGACCAACATGCTTAATTTCTGTTAGTTGAGCTTTGTCATTTGGTAATCAAGGCAAATAGTGCAGGTTTTATGAAAGGAAAATAAGTTATCTTAAAAATTTGTGATTCCTGCTTAACATATCTGAACTTTTATAAATTTAAAAGATACATTACATCTAAAGAAATCATATTGGCTCATTCAGAGTAGTGTTAAGTATAATGACAAAAGCCCATCTATGTGCTTGTAGGGAAGTTTCTGATAATCTGATACATTTGCTCTGCTAATTAAAACATTTTGCATGATGAGCTGAGACACTGGAGTATTTTTCAGGTTTGTAGATATGTCAGTGTCATCACAGTTAAAGATCAACAGGGCTTCCAGTGCTTATTCTTGGAATTTACCAATAATACCAAAATAAATTAATCCAGATCCTCTTTCCAGAAAAGACCTGCTGCCCATCAGTACCATGTGTCCTAGATAAAAGTAATCCTGATGGTTTTTTCTCTGATATTCTTGGTGATGGTGAAGTTAAACATGCTTCAGATCCATACAGAATGATGGAACTATTTATTTTTCCCTTCCCATTTTTGATAATTATTCATTGCTAGCCTCTCCATAGTGGGAAGTCTGTTGCTGCATGAGCAGTGGTGTTCGGTATTTTGAAATTTCAACTTTGCAAAGACTGTGCAGTTCAGTTTGTTGCCCTAGGAATGGAGGTGGATGTGATGGAGCAACTGGGTTTGAGGATGCATTATGACACACACAGATCAGAACAGGGAATAAATCCCTGGAAGCCCTCAAAGAAAGCTGTAAGCACATCTGAAAAGAAGTCCGAATGGCTGTCATTGTGATGGTGACACACACCTCTCTGCAGGTTTGAGCTATGTCAGAGCAGCTGAAGGTTTTGTGTTACAGAGGTGGCATCACAGAGTGCATCCATGTGTTCAGCTTGAGGATTCTGCCCAGTATTGATGGCACACAAAATTTGCATTGTCTGATATTCTGTGTGAGTGGTGAACGCTTTAAATCTCAAATAGCTTCAAGCCCACAAGGTTTGCCAGCACCATAGAAAGATGAAAAGTTGCTGCAAACCATTTTCCCTCTAATTCTTTACTGAAACATTTCCCCTTACTGATTTTAAAAGCAATAAGTATTTCCCCAGGGGATTTCTTGGCTTTGCAGCTCTTTTGCTGGTGCCAGATACCAGTGCCAGGGTTTTCTGTTGTGGTTCCAGTGCCTCTTGTGCAGGAATTGTCTGGAGGCCACAGGCTGATTTGGCTGCAGGCGGCAGAGGGGGCTGCCATGGCATTGACTCCTGGTGTTTCAGATTATCACTATTGACCCGGGGGTGAAAGGCTCTGGATCCCATTACCAACTCCCTGAGTCATCCTGCTCCTTGCAGCAGGGCTCAGAACAGCTGATGCAGGATGCTCCTGCTCAATAGCATCTGCACTAAGAGCACTTACTCAGATTTATTGGCCAGCATAACTTTCAGGTTTTGTTTATTGAACAGCAAATTGGAATTTTTATGGAGCTGCGCTCACGAAATCCTCAAGTCCTTATGCATCTCAACTTTTTGCTGAAGACAGATATCTCGGATAAGATTTAAAGGCAAAGCAGTCTGATGTTATTTTAGAATCCTAGCATACTGTGAGTCACAACAATTTACTGGATATATTCAAAGCTCTGAATTCAGGAAATCCCCTGATGTCACATTTTTCTGATTTGAATGCTGTGGCATCCTTTTAATTTGTGGTTGGGACTTAGGACACGTTCTCATTGCTGCTATCTGAAAAGGCTGCACATCTTTGCATTTCAGCTCTCTTGTTTAGTGCATTTCTGTGAATGGAGGAGAGCTGAGATGAAAGGGACCCAGGGTCAGGGAGGGGAATCCTTCTTGCTCTTGAGTACAGGTGAAAATCTGGACCATCCATACCCTGACATGTTTATCAGCTGATTTTTTTTTTCTTTTTTCCACATTCCTCCAAACAACAGATGTTGTGTCCCATTTGGTCTGTATTACCGTCTAACCAGCTTTTGGTTTGATGATACACCAAAAATGAAGCTGCCAGGCACCAGATATCTCAAAATTTTGACTTCTTTCTTACATTTTGCATAAAAATTGTGTGGTCAGATGTATTGCAGGCAATAACGCCACCAGAATTTGGTAGGGAAGAACTTCAGGTTTTTTGCTTCAACATAATTTAGCCCCTGTGGTCAGATGTTAAATTTTTTCTGCTCCGCTCACTTACTCTGAAATACCTCAACCTAAAAGTGCTGCATGACCCAAAAGTTAGTGTCAAATAGATAATTTGGGCTAATAGACACAAAATTTGCTTGAATAAATCCCAGATAATCTTTTGCAGAATTATTCTCATAAAATTGTATAGAAAAGAGTTTTATACAATAAGCACTAAAATTTCGAGTGGTCAGTGTTGGATTCATGTTGAACTTCTTTTCTCCAGACACACTTAAACTGTGGAATTGTTTTCTTGAACTTCAAGGCAGTGTATTTATTTTAGATATCAAATTAAGTAAGTAAGTAGATATAACATTAGTAAGTTATTAATGTTCCTCAGACATCCATAACTGGTAATTTCCCACATTGTCATGTGGTTGTACGGGGTTTTTTGGTGGGTTTTTGTTACTTGTGCTGTGGTAAAATTGTCATAGATTGTCCAGGCAACAAAGAAATTGCTTCTTTATGTCCTCAGTGCATTTGGTTGAGAATTAATTATGTGTTATGAAAAGTGATTTTGGGGCACTGGTGAAAATAATTTTAAAATATTTGGATATAGGAACAGCAGTGATAAATGTCTGCTTTTATATGGAAATATAGCAAAAAATAGGAACAGAAGCTGTCTTTTAAAGCATATTTTCTTTAAAAATATCACTAAAAATTGTTTCTACCATTGATTGCACATCAAATTGAGAAGCAGATTTCTTATTTTTGAGTATTTCTGATCCTCCTGTTCTTTCAGTCACCTTAAACCTGCAAATAGAAATGACAAATCATTTAGAAAAAACAGTTTGGAAAGCCTTAGTCAAGAATGGCTGGGATTTCAAATGAGAAGTTGCAAAAGGAAAAAAATAAGTAATCTGAGGATTTTATAGGTTTTATTGACATTAGCTGGAAAGAAGAGCAGTCTGGAAGGAAGTGGGCACATTAAATATAACTAAGTCTGCCACATTTCCATCTGCTTTTATGTATCCAAACCAGAAAGGAGCCACCTGCTAATCAGAAATGCCATGTCTCATTTATGAATGCAATTAGTCTTTTTTAGTTAATTGTCTTAATTAGTTTGGAAAACTTTAAACATACGGGCAGACAGCAGAAGATCAAAAGATAACAGTGCTGCAAATGGAAGTCGTAAAAATATGATGAGTAATCAAAGGAGTTCAGGGTAAAATCATGAAAATTGCAGCATAAACAAGGTTGTGGTAAAAATAATAATTAAAAACCTCAGCCAATTTTAGCGAAACATTATCTAAACAAAACATTATCTAAACGAAACACAGGTTAAAAATGGGAGAGGGAGAAAAGCAGTGAAAATTGTGTTCCCAGTGCCTTGGTAACTTCCTCTCCTCCAAAAATTCCATGATATAAACACAGACTGAGGAAAAGGCAAATAAAAAGAGCTCAGTTTACCATATTTAAGTATTCTGCTTAGGTACATGCCTACTTTGTCTGGGCTTTAGTTGGTTCTTTTTATACTCTCTTTGGTTCTTCAGTTATTTTCATGTAAAAACCCTACATCAGTAAGTTATTTGCAAACCACACACTGCCATTAAGGGCAACAGTAAATGAATTTCTAGATTTTCTCAAGACTTTTACCCACTTTGGTTTTTTTTGTTCCTACATTTGTGAGCACAGTCACATTCATGGACTCTGTACAAAAAAGGTAGCGCAGCTTTCACTGAGGAGCAGAGCACCTCTGCCTTTGGAAGCACAGCTTTGGAGTTGGGTCAGTATTGGATTAATTCTTTGGCACTGTTTTCAGCCTGCCAGTTGTTAATTTTGGTTTAGTTGTGGTCAGTGATATTCCTGCTGTTTGGGGTAAATTCCATGCCTTGAGCAACTTCAGTGAGTTGCTGGACAAGCACTGATTCTTCAGGAGGTTTGAATTGCTGTGATGTATCCATGAAAAGCCCATTCCCACTCATTATTCTCTTTAATTTCCCTGGGATTTCTCTTTCATTTCACTCCTCCCTTCTGCAAATCTGCACTTCCAGGGTCAAACCACCCCAGGGCCAAGAACTAGAGGATGTGTGCCTGATATTTTGGACCCTGTTGGAAGCATTTTTGCTGCTTGGCATGGCAGGGAGCACAACTAACTTCAGCCCTTCCCAGCTGGAATGTCCCTGCTGGAGCAGTTCTTTGGCTGGATGACTCTGAAATGAGCTGCATTCATTCCAGGCAGCAGAGCAACAGTGCCATTTTGACACAAATGTGTTTGTTTAGTTGAATTCAGGAGGTGTCTGGGATGTGCCATCTTGTTTTTTATGAAAGAGAGCACCCAGGTAGCTTGCAAGACATCTGGAGTGTCAGGCAATGATTGGTTTGTAGCACAAAACAGACTTTTGGGATAAAGATGAGGAAGAGTGAGCTTTAATTAAAAATCCTCTCAGCTTATCTTCTCACTCAGGGGAACGTGATTTTTCAACCATTAAAAGTAACTGGAGCATGGCAGTATTTTTAAAATTTTTTTTCTGGAAGGAGAAATAGCTCCTAATAGAGTGAGCTGTGCAATCCAGAAAACTCAAATGGGCCCCATTTGCTCTGCTCTGTAGAGGATGCAGTTTCTCCACTCACATCAAACACCCATCATGCTAAACAGGGAGTCAACCATCAGCTGAATTAAACAAAATCCAGGGAATTGCAGGGAAACTGGAAAAAAGCCTCAGCTTGAAAAGAAATGACAGAGCAGCACAAAGCCTGGATGTTTGTGAACACAAAGTATCATTTCTCAATTGCCCAAAATACTGGGTTCACCTGCTCTGTTGTTGGAATTGATCTGCTTAGACGGATAAAATATTGGCAGTTATTGGAAAGTTGTCAATAAATCAATAACTGATGTAAAACCATTTCAATTGAGCAGGTTTTCTCCACCTATGGTGCTGCTAAACAGCGAGATCAGGCTGTTGTGATGCTGGAAGATGAAAACACAGAACTGCAGAGAACTTTTAGTTCTTTTTTGATATTGTGATGTTGCTCAGAGATATTATAGCTTCTCCATGCCTTAAATAGTATGTGTGTTGTACTGGTATTATTGTTTCTGTCCTTTGTAGTTACAAAAAAGAGTCAGGGCCTATATTGGACAGCAAATTAACTTTTTCCCTCTATGTACAATGCTTATTTTGTAGTAGATGAAAGTGGGGAAAAAAGTAAATAATCCCACAACTCTCTCCTTTAATTCAATTGCTGAAGAAAAAGTGAATAAGAGCAGGTGTTTGAAAAACTCTGTCACATAAAGATTTCCACTTTCTTTGGAAAGCAAGAATATTGAAGGGAACCTACAATTCCTGGTTTCCTCTAGAAACAGTAACACTGACCTTCCTCTAATCCTTTTGACCTACTATTGTAAGGCTGCTTATAAACAGAAATAGAAACCAGATGCTGTCAGTCAGGGCATCCTTAATTTCTCATCCTGAGTAAAATCAAACTAAATCCTTTGTGAAAGAGCTCATAATTCTTCTCCTTTCTTGCAGCTGAGATGGATCATAATGGAAAGTGACACTGAAAAATCACAGGTGGGTAAGAGTTGTGGCAACACCTTTTAGAGCTGAAAAATATCCATCCAGGAGAGAAAAGGATGTGGGTTTGGTGGCTCTTTTGTTTGTATGTTTGGGGTTGGGTGGTTTTTTTATGTGTGTGAGTGTGCTCCTCCAAACAGCCTCTTTATTATAACTACCTTATTTTAAAAGGGAAATTAACTATCCCTCAGAAATTAGAAATTAGTGTAATTGTCTTTTTAAACCATCTCAGAGCCATGGGATCAGTGGGGATGTTCAGGCAGGTAGACTGTAGGCCAAAGGAAAACCCCAAAAATGCTTTCAGCATAGATTTGAGGATCTCAGAAACATTGGTTTGCACAAGGAAATAGTGAGGAACCAATTTAACTTGGATTCAGACATTTTAGTTTGTCTCAACCCTGATTGCCAAAACATCTTTCCTTTAAGGCAGTCTGACTTATAAACGTAGATAGAGACTAAATAAATTCCAGTTTTTAGGGCTGGGTATCTTCATAAATTACTTTTAATTACAGATGGAGATATCAACATAAAAAAAGGGAAGGGTTAAAGAGAGGAGCAATTTTAGAGAAGTCCTGGTTGGTCTTGAAAGACATTGTCCAAGTAGGAAGAAAATCAGAATTCCACTTGCCAGTATTCATAAATATTTGATTAGAAGGTGTCATGTGCCTCTAGAAGATAACATGATTCTAGGAAAAAAAAAATGTCACTATTGCTTTTTAGGAGCTAATTGGTGTTGTTGCCACTTTTTAACCTTTTAGTCCCTTTATTTTGTTGTAAATGTTGCTGTTTCTTCTCTCCTCATTTATGCTAAGGCAGTTTTGATTATGTGAAAGAATGGGTTGCACAAACATCTCTCAGGATAGGGTTAGGTGTTAATGAACCTGCTCTTTGGTTAGGGACTGCAATAAGTCATCTTATTATTGGGGCTCAGTACATTTTTAAAAATTATTTTTAATTATAATTTTATTTAATTCTTTACATTTTTTTAATTTAGTGAGCTATAGTAAGATACTGTCTGGTGTGCAGTGTATCAAGCAGCCTGGATAATGGATTGTCATCCCAAATATCTAGCCATTCAAGGGATGGATTTTCATCCCATGACAAGTCAGGACCAATTGCTCTTGGGGTCAGAATAGAACTGGTGGTGCAACCGTAGTTCAGAACAGCACAGAGATTATATGAAGCCTTCTGCTTCCATGAAGTTCCTCATTTGCTCACAATATTCCTGATTTGTAGTAAATAAATGTGTCTGGATATTTCCCACTATTTGAGTGTTAAAAAAATCAGTGAAAATCTGATGTGACCGAATTACTCAATTTTTTTTCTCCGAGCTACTTGGAAGCACATGGATAGTGAGGTGATTGCTCCTTAATTCTTTTTGGAGTGATGGATAACAGCAACTGCTCAGGGATCCTATGGCTTGTCAGAATGGGTTTGGTTAGGAAGAAACACATCTCAACTCCAAGACCAGGTTTCTCCTAAAAGAAAAGTACAACCAGCTGGGTGTCTTTAGGAGATGCTGGGTGTTTTAGATGTTCAAACCCCAGAGAGCAGATATTCAGGTGTAAACTTGTGTCTGTGTGTGCTGGCTCCACTGGAGACTCAGGACTGGGTCTCCCCTACCTCAAGTTTGTGTGAATGTGTGTGTTTTCTTATATAAAGTGCAAAGCTGTCTCTAAGAATGATTGAGACATGCACTGTGCCTAAGAAATGATCTAAAGAAAGTATTTTGAGAGATCCTGATTAGTGTGTTTAGTGTATTGGTGTACCTTCTGTATAGAAGAATTACGTATTAAAAACAAATTGCAAACAGTTGGGAATTTTTGAGCTTAAAATGTAATTACAATATTTCTATTGTTTTCTTCATCAGGCTGTGCTTTACAGTCCTGAGATGCCATCAGTTTTGGGGAACAATCTCTATCAAGGTCGTTCTGTTTGCTGCGTCAGTCGCTCACTTACACCGGGAGGACCCCGCGGCGCACGGCGGTGCCTCGAGATGCCAATTACTCTGATTTGGAATTCTGTGTACAGTAATTAGAGAGCCAGGTAGCAGCAGACATGTGTTACCCCGAGATAACACGCTCCTTGGAAGGATCATGAGGCAGGAGGTGAAGTGAGTGCCTCCAGTGACCTGGGGAAGGCATTTATCTCAGCACTGCACGGGCCTGGGGCGGCATTGCCGCTGTGCACCAACTATCAGCACTATCAGCTGCTCTGAGATTGATTGCAGCATGTCAAACAGATGTTTAAAACATGTTCAGCCTTGTGCATCATGTGATAATTATGTCTGACTCTGAAGGGCCAGTGTATCAGGTGTGAGGAGATAGGAGCATGAAGTGTTTGGGTTTGGTTTTTTTTTGTTTTCACTGGGATATGCGTGACTGGCAAAAGTTATCTTGAAAGGGACTTTGAGCTCCAGAGTGCCACAGCTTCAGCAAACCCCACATCCATAATGCAGGAGAGTGCTCACGTGGAACTGGCTCAAGTGGAGCATTCAGAGCTGGTGTGTATTATTCCTTTTTTTTTCACAAATGTAGGTGTGCATGAGCGTGTGTTTGTACACCCAGAGTGATCTCCACAGCGTTTATTTTTAACCCATGATTATTTTTACCCTGTGCCCAGTGCTGTGAATTGTTTCACTTTTCAGGTGACTGACAGGGAACATTTTTCCAGCAGCACAGAGCAGCCTGGCACTGTCCCTGGGCCGAGGGCTGGCTGCTCAGCACAGCCCTGGCAGACAAAGGGCTTTGTGTGCCTGCTCTGCCCACAGGCTCCACATCACACCCAGGAGAAAGGTCTCTCTTTAATCTGGGCTGCTCAGGAAATCAAAGGGGGGGGATTAAAACAAGAGCAGTGACTGATTTCCGTAGGAGATCGCTTTCCTGTTTCATTTGATAGAATGAACAGCAGAATCAAAGCAAGGTTAGAAGCCCCATGTACCTTTTTTTTTTCCCCAGAAATTTTTGTGCTGTCTGTTCACAAGGTGTTATAATAATGGAACACAGGTGCAGTAACGATTTTAGAAATTTTTCTTATTATTTTTACCTTAGAATAATTTACATATAGCTGCTCTGACAAGGTGTGTGCCTTCTGAGTCATCAGGCTTGTAGTTAAATATGTTAAAGCTGATTAAATCTGCAGCTGTTTGTTTCTTTGCATTCTTTTGATCTCTGCTAAAAATAGCCCCAGTGCCTTCATAAGAACTAAATTCAAAGGTATGGTGGGATGTTGCTTCAACATTGGACTTGAACAGCCAATAATGAGCAGCAAAAATCTGCTTTGTGCTCAGAGGAAAGAGCAGTGAGAGGAAGGCAGGAGCTGTGCAAGAGTCCCCAAACTTGGCTGGGCTGCCAAGTGCTTTAACAAGGAGGGAAATGTTGTGCCCTTTACTGGCAATAGGGAGGCATCCCTATGAGTGAAATGTGCTTCTCTCATGTGTTTTAGACAAACTGGTGAATTTTCCCCCCCTTCCTTTATTTTTTTTTTTTCCTGTAAAATGATGTTAAGGTGGCAGTGCAGGATCTCTGCATATTCTGTGTTGGCTTTCTTTGCACTTCAGTGGAATTCACATGGGATGGTGATATCCAGCTCTGCATTGCTGCTATTTCTCACTTTAATGACCCTGGTAAATCTTTAATGATTGCCATCACTGTCAGAAGGGCACAAAGGGCCCTCATCTGTCTTGATGCAACCTAAGAGAATATGCTCACAGATGTCAGTTAAAATAATGGCGTTGGTGGTAGGTCACTTGGAATTTTATGGGTACCCATCTCTTCTTGCAAAAAGCAGCACAGAAATCCCATATTAATCATTACAATCACTTAAAAAACCCTAAATGTCTATGTCTTAGGTTTTGGGGTTTTTTTATTAACTAGGGCAGCACATTCCAGACAAAAAGGATTGAGACAGGCACTTCACAGGAATGGGCCTCCTCATTTCTGTGTTCCAGAGCAGCTGAGACATAAGATCTTATTTTAAATTAGGCATTTCCAAGTGTGAGATTTTCTTCCAAAACTTGCCTGAAAGTCCGTGTCAGAAGAATCCATTCAACATTAGAACAAAGCCTTTTCCACCACTCAAGCATTGTTTCATCATGAGTGATTTCCCTATCATAGCACAGCCTTTAAGACATAATTCTCTCAAATTATGGGGTGTGCTGGCAACCCTGAGAGTGAGAAACTGGATATACACATCTCCTGCTCCCATTAATAGCACTTGCCTGCCTAATTCAATGAGCAGCACAGGGAAGATGGAGCCCCGTGGGTCAACAGCAATGGATTCAATGAGGTCTTCACCTTCTAAAAATGTCATTAGTGGGAGTAAGAGCTGGCTGTGGGTCCTGGTGTTTGCTACAGCCCTCTGGAGAGCATAAATCTGACACAGAGGTGCTCAGGCTTGCCTGGGGAAGCTCCCCCTCATTGTTCCAGTGCCTACCACTCTTGCTCACTCCATTGCTCCTGTGTCACCAGCTCATCCAAGTGTAGGGACAACCTGTCTGCACCCTCCTCAAAATGAAATCTTCATTCCAAGCTAAGTCATGTCTTTAAACAAGTTCAGTTCCCACCAGAAGCTGTCCCCACATAGCTTTTCATGCCTGGTTCAGCTGCAAGGCTCAAACTCAGTTTGCAAGTTGATCTGGACAAGGAGAAGGTTTTTCTGGGCATCTCTAAAGCAGGGAGTTGGTGGCGCTTCTGCTTAGTGGTGATGGACTGTGGGATCAGATGAATCTCTCTTCTGGAGCTCAGCATTTTTTTTTCCTTATTCCTAATGTACCCAATGACATATTAAATCTAAAGTTTGCTTGCTTTCCACAGAAATTTCAAGGCACTCTCTCTCTGAACCAGATCAGTAAAATGTAGGTTTATTTAAGAACCCTTCTTCTTGGGCTGTTGCTCAAAACAGGAAAAACTTGAGAACTTGTCTGCTGTATGTGGTAGTTAATATTTGAATCCATTTAAAATCCAGAGCATGAGATTAGGTAAGCGTGGATGACCTAG